GGCGTCGGTGCCAGCGACAGTACTCGGGTAGGCGCCGGCGTCGGTGCCGGCGGGGGCGCCGACGTCGGTGTCGGCGTCGGTGATGGCGACGGTGCTGGCGCAGGTGCGGGCGTCGGTGTTGGGGTCGGCGTCGCCGTTGGTGGCGGCGTCGATGCTGGCGACAGAGTTGGCGTTGGCGCTGGCGCCCGTGCTGTGGACGGGGCCAACTTCAGTGTTGGCTTCGTTGTTGGCGGTAATGTTGACGTAAGTGCTGGCCGGTTTCGATACCAGGGTCGGCGCCAGCGACGGTGTCGGCGACGGTGCTGGCGACGAGGCTGGCGGAGGCGGCGGCGTCGGTGCCGGCGTAGGCGCCGACGTCGATGTCGGCGTCGGAGCTGGCGACGGTGCTGGTGTAGGCGCCGGTGTCGGTGCCGGTGGAGGCGCCGACGGCGATATCGGCGTCGGTGCTGGTGCCTGTGCTGGCGTAGGCGCTAGCGTCGGTGCTGGCGTAGGCGCCGGTGTTGGCGACGGTGTTGGCGTAGGTGCGGGCGTCGGTGTCGGTGTCGGCACCGCCGTTTGCATCGGCCTCGATGCTGACGACGGTGCCGGTGTAGGCGCCGGCGTCGGAGCTGGAGGCGGTGCCGACTTCGGTGTCAGCGTCGGTGATGGCAACCGTGCTGGGGTAGGCGCCGGAGTCGGTGCTGGCGTTGGCGCCGACGTCGGTGTCGGCGTCGGAGCTGGGGACGGCACTGGCGTAGGCGCTGGCGTCGGTGCCGTCGTAAGCGCCGACATCGGTGTCGGCTTCGGTGCTGGCGACGGTGCTGACGTAGATGCCGGCGTCGGTGCCAGGGTCGACGCCTGCGTCGGTGTCTGCTGCGGCGTTGGCGACGGTGCTGGCGTAGACGCCGGAGTCGGTGCCGGCGTATATTCGGCAACCGTCCCCGTTAGGTGAGAGCCCCAGCACGCCACAACAAAGTGTGGCCTTTTGGGAGGGCACTGCGCGTGTGCAGTAGCATCCGTGATAACATGTCGTGTTTTCCCCCTCTCCCTGTCTTCGCCTTCGGGTCTCCACGGGGGGCACGATTTGTCCGCTTCTGCGTGCCCGGAGTCGAAACTGTGTAGCAGGCTCGGGGCGGAAATTAACACGGCTATCCACAATTACCACAAGCAGTGGAATGGATACGATAGTGAGTAGTGAGTGGTGATACTCATTACTCACTACTCATTACTCATTTCTCACTATTCACTATTCACTACTCACTACTCACTACTCACTACTCACTGGTCACTACGCACTACACACTACCCACGACTGACTACTCACTACGCACAACTGACTACTCTCTACTCACTATGCACTACCCACTACTCAGTACTCACTACCCTTTACTCTTCACCCACTACTCACTACCCACTACTTACTACTCACTACTCCCTACTCCTTGCTCCCTACTCACTACTCATTATTCGCTACTGTCTGCTCACTACTCACTACTCACTACTCACTACTCGCTACTCACTACTCACTAATCAGTATTCACCACTCACTTTCACTACTTTGGAATTCAGTACTCAGCACTCACTATTCACGACCCACTACTCCCCACTCCCTACTCCCGCTGCCCTACTCGCTACTCACTCCCCACTAATCACTACTCACTAATCACTATTCACTACGCACTACTCACTTCTCACTACTCACTACCTACTACACACTACTCCCTACTCTTTTGTCCTTACCCACCTTCTCTGGCGCGGAGAGGAGAAGCGGGAGAACCCCCCTGCCCCCCTCCCCAGCCCCCTGTTCGTTGCAAAGGGGGGGGGGGGGCGGACACCCCCCCCCTAAAGGGCGGGAGGAGGGGAGTCGAAAATCTGACCCCCCCCTTTAAGGGGGGGAGGGGAGGTTCTGCGAGCACACCCCCCCTTTTCAATTACAGCGTGATCCACTGGCGCGTTTTCGTACATTATAATAGATTGTTTCACCATCTTGCCAGTGCACCTATGAAGTGCACGGCTCCCTCTCTCTCTCTCTCTCTCTCTCTTCAAAGCGAATCCATGGGGGGCGGGGGTGAAGGGGCGCACGCGCGCGCGCGGGCCCGCGCGCACGGCCACACTGGCTACACGCAAGAGTGGCCCTAGGCAAAAGTGATCTTCAGAGCACGGCTGGCCGATCGTTGCAAGCGATAAGTGCTTGCATGCTCGAGTTTCGTCCCCCTGCGCCCCCCGAGAATGTCACTCCCAAACTCGATGTTTCCAAGACGGAGTCCCCAGAAGTCCTGGCCCGCTCTGCAAGGCGGCCATTTCACCCTGAGTGGTTGCTGAACGTCCCTGGGGCCGAGAAATTAGACCCAGGGGCCAGAAACATCGAAAAAGACATCCATCTTGAACGGTTCAAGGCACTGGATGCCTGCGTGCGGCGAGAGGCCACTCTTTACGCGTGGCCGAAAAAGATGGCGGCCGCCCCGCTCCCGACGCCGACGGGGGCGCGGGGTGCGCGGGGGTGCGCGGGGGTGCGCGGCGGCTCTGGGCCGCGCCCCCCGGAGCTCGAGCCCGCGCGGCGCGGCGGCGGCGGCGGCGGCGGCGGCGGCGGCGGCGGCGGCGGCGGCGGCGGCGGCGGCGACGACGACGACGACGACGACGACGACGACGACGACGACGACGACGACGACGACGACGACGACGACGACGACGCTCAGGCAATGGCACAGGAGACCCCCATGCCACCCCACAAAGAGGCCCTCGAGACAACCCATGAAGCCCCCAAGACACCCCTAGAACGCCCCAGAAAGGCCCCAACACACAACCCAAGAGGTCCCAAAAGGGCCTCGAAGAGGCATTCAAAAAGGTCACAGAAACCCGATGGACTGCCAAAGAACCCCTCAAAAGGCCCCCAGGGGGCGACTCAAACGCTCCCCCGAGGCCCCAAAGAGAGCTCCAAATCCCCAACGAACGTCCAAGACTGCATAAGAGGCCCCTCAGATGGCAGAGGACCTCAAGAGGAAGGCGAAAACCTGTAGAGATTCTCGGAAGCCATGAAGAAGAATGCATCACTGTTTTCGTAAAATAACGTGTCTGTTGTTCCTGCTCCTCCCAGTTGTGTTCGTCTCGCTCATCCTCTCTATATGCGACAGCCACGGAGCAGGTCGTATCACATAACACAATGCCGAAAGAGATCGTACTAGGCCAACCAGACCACACGGGCCGGCCACAAAAGACCAGACTGGGCCCTTAAGACGGTGCTAGGACCAAAGCGAAAAAGGCTGAACCAGGCGATACCCATGAGCAGGAACTGCCCGTGTGCCCGCATCTCGGGAACCTGCCAAATAAGGGCACTTAGATGGAATGAGGGAGGCATCCGTGAGGATGAGCGGCCCTCGTGGCCCCAGGATGAGCGGCCCTCGTAGCCCTCGCAGCCCCTCGTGACCGCAGAGGTCCACAAGAGACCCCCAAAGGAATCACAAGAGGCCCTTAAGAGGTCACCGAGTGGGCCCAAAGAGGCCCCCAAGAGGCCCACATCCTAGAAACCAACAGTGATTGATTACTCCCGGAAATGCTCAGTGTGCATTACGCCCACTATTCTTGCACAGTGGCGGGATACGGAGAAGGTTACAGGGTGCTATCATGCCCTATACAGAGATTGAATGTTTCCTTCGTCCGACGGACCTCAACGCGCCAATATGGGCGACGTAGCGAAGCCTGAAGAAAGAGGCATGGTACTTCGCGTGAAGGGCGGAGGAGACATGCTCACTATACCAAACTCTGATTAACTCCTGCTCATACGCATAGTTTCACGAGGGGGTTGGGGCAGCGCAGCGACGAATGTTCTGACCCTTGGAAGACCAAGCGTATCGAACCCCAGCCCCGGGCCAACCGCAGAAGCCTGCCAAGCACAGTCACCAACAAATTCTCCAAACTCACCGTACCCTCCAGGGAATGTATAATGCAAATGGGCACTGGGGAAGAGCACGTCAGGAGGCACCGATAATGCAGGGGGCACCGCCGAAGGCTTCCCCTTCCTCGTCCGCAGATGGAGATGGAGGCCTCCATAGAGGCAGACTGGGCGAATGTTTCGAGCTGCGCCAAGCCGTGGCGACGAGGACCTCCAAAGACGCCCCAAAAGCCTCGGAAACGGAGACGTCGTCATCGTCGTCGGCCGTGGGTCGTCGGTGCACGTCGTCGGTGCACGTCGTCGGTGGTCGTCGTCGCTCTATCGTCATGGTCGCGCTGCCTCCTCGGTCGCGCTGGACGCCGAGGGCTCAGTGGCGCAGAACGCCTAAGAACGCCTGAGCGCCTGGGCGGGACCCGGCGGACGTCGCAGAGGCACACACGCGCGGCGGCGCTCGGTGCAGACAGGGGTCGCGCAGTGCCCGTCGGTGCAAAACGCAGGCAGGCTCCAGGACTTTCGAAGTCCAAGGATGTTTCTGGAGCCCCTCGCCCCTTCGGATACACTGCTTTTCTCCAGATCAAGGCGGTGCCTAAGGCTGCGGCGCACGCCGCTCCAGGCGGATCTCGCGCCTTAATGCTTGCGGTTGGGGCGGGCGCGTGCGGCGGTGCAACCCCCAAGCATGCGTTCGTTACCTATGATATCCTGTGATGCTTGATGCTTCTCTGGCGGGAGGCCTCTGGGAGGCATCTCGCTGCCCCGGCTGGACTCCCCTCGGGACTCGGGTCAAAACACATCCTGCACAGGCCCAGACGTCGTGCGCCGCGAGCCCGCCCTCCAAAGACATCCGACGTCATGGTTTCTGTGTCGATACGTCGCCCCTGGACCTCTCGCCCGTCGACCTTTCGACAAGCGGTCCCCCCTGTAACCTGAAAGTGCTGCGGCACGCAAGGCAAGAGCAGGAGAGGGACGAAGAGAGCACGGGAGGCAGAGAAAAGCCGGGGGGCACGCGGAGCGAACGTTGCTTCGCCTTCGCGAACCAGCGTGTTTCTCCCCATATCGTTTTCCGACGGCCCCCAGAGCCCGAGAAACGGCCCCCGGACGCCGAGAATGGTGAGGAGCCTCCGCCTTGCCTTTTTGCTCAGGGCGCTGGAGGTCGGGGCCCATCGCGGCCCGCCGCTGGGCGGCGAGGCGCCCCCGCCGAGCGCCTTGGGAGGGCCGCTGGGCCGCCAATCCTCGGCCCGCGCGCGCGGCCGCGCAGCGGCCTGCACCGTAGAGCGCGGCTGGCCCACGGCTGGCGCCCTCCCCACGGCCCGAGGGCCAGCTGGGCCAGGCGAGCCCGCGGCCCGCAGGCCGTCCAGCGCCGCCCGTTGAGCCCGCGGCCCGACACGGCGGAGGTCTGGGCTCGAAGCTGGGCCTCCGTATCTCCGGCCAGGCGCCCGCAGCAACCAGCGCTTCCGGGCCCCCCGCCGCCGATGGCCGTCGGCAGCGGCCTGAGCCCGAGCCCGACGGCCACCAGCGCAGCGGCGGGTCAGCGGCGACGCGCTGGGGGGGCGGCAAGTCGCAGCTCGGGGGCGGCCAGGCTTCGTAGGGGACTGGGCCGCGGCCGCCTGCAAGGTGCCCGCAGGCGTCGAGGGGACGAGCTCAGCACCAGTGGTAGTTGAAACTGACGCTGACGCGATCACCCTCTCCTGGGAGAACCAAAAGTGGCAGCTTTCGGAAGGCCGCGCGGATCTTCTGGGTGGGCGCTGGGCCTCCTCCAGCGCCGCCGACACAAAAAATCGGCGCGGACCTCCGAAAGTTTCTGCTTGTGCAGTTATTCCCGATTCGGTATCCTCTATTTGGCTGAACCTGGTGCCGCAGCCAACTCTCCCAGAGGATGACCTCGCCCGCACGAGCAGGGTACTCGACCACCTGCCTGTTGGAGCGCCGCGCCGAGTGTGCACGAGGCGGAGCAGCCATCGTGCGGTCCAGTCGTGGGTCCTCGAATCGAATGCCAGAGCAGCCTCTCGGCGTCTCCACGTAGTAGGTGCCGCTGAGCGTGGAGCACTGATGCAGATGCAGACCATGATGCGTGCCCTCGGGCATGATGTTTATCCAGCACTCTGTCATAACCAGATCATCGAGAGCGTCAAATTCCAAATACTTGGCGAACGAGCGCACATGGTGATTGGCCCAGCGCTCAAGCTTGGAAAACGTGGACGAGAATTTGTGAAGCCTGCCCATGCTTGCGAAGGAAGTATAGCCACCAGGATAATTCTTGCCAGACCATCGGAGACCCCTTTCGTCGAAGCTCACGAGTTGCTGCGCCTCGACCATGATCTCGGAGTTCAGTTCCTCCACCTCCCTGGCATTGTGCAGGCGCCGGCGGTAGATGGGCGTTGCGAAGTGTGCAGCCACGGAGGGTACTCCGCTAACCGCCATTTTGCACCTCTGCAGAGGCGAAATACTGCATGATCATGAACAACGCCTACATATACACCAACATCCGGAGGTGCTCGCAGATTTCTTGGGTAGGCGCTGGACCTCCCTCCCTGCATCTCTATTATTATCTCCAGTGCGCGGAAATCGCCGGTGGGCGGCGCCGACTCGCCTGGAGGTGTCAGGGAACGAGGCCTCCTCCTGCTCGAAAGCCGCCAAGATCGTCCGAAAAAACACACACAACATCGTGCAAAATCAGCGCCACAGCTCTCGACCCCACCTCTCTCTGAGGCATCTCTTGAGCCGCATCGATCCGTAAGGGTCTCGGGGTCCGAAGCCCCAGGCGAAAATGCTGTGGGCGAACAGACGTGCGACGCCCGGATCTCTAAGGCATCCGCCGGGCCGGCTTCTCATCCCGAGCCGTGTCCTTGCGGCCCCAGGGCCCAGTAGAGGACACCAGAAATGCCCTGCGCTGCACAGAAAGCCATGTGCTTTCAGAACCTTCGTTTCCTTCATGGTTCACGACGACCCTTCAGAATCCGCTCTCCGCTGACCATTCCCAAAGTGCCAGTCCTGACCAGTCTTTCAGGCTGCGCCCTGCCGTGGCCGCGGGAAGGTTCCCCGAAGCCCAGAAAGAGCGCGCAACTCCAAATGTCCCACGCCGTAGGGTACCATCGTGCACTCACCATAAAGGAAAAGGGTCCTGATGGACGGGGGTCATCCAGACCCTGGACTTTCCCCGAGGCCCAAGTCATCATCTCGAGTCGGTTTCTGACGGTCCCGGGAACCTAAGAGGGACCCAGGAGCCCGAAAAGCCAAAAAAAACTCTGGACCCATGCGCTTCAAGCTAGCATCCTGCACCTCGTACGGCGCTTTCCCCTGGCGTGGGTTGCTGGAGCCGCTGGCGCCGAGCCCGCTGTCGTCCGCGCGCGACCCTGCAGGCCGCCAGAAAGCAGGCGCGGCAGGGCCGCGCCGGCGAACGCTGCCGCCGCGCACACGCAGAGCGCCCAGCCTGGCGCCGCGGCAGCAGTCCGGCGCGACGCGCCCGCACAACGTTGCCGACGCAGCGACCGCGGCCTTCGGGCGCAGCCCCCTGCCATGTTCGTACGGCGAGGCTACGGGAAGCAGCACGGCGGGAACCGTTAGCAGGTGATGCCTGGGAGGCTCGTGGAAAAGTTGAACTTTTTTTGATCACAATTGAGGGGGCACTAGGCCAGAATAAACCACATTCTGCCCAAAATAAACCCAGCTTGCGCGGTACTAAAACGGATAGGAAGGGGGCAAGCCGGACTAAAACGATTGTCGACCACGGGTATACTAGCGCCGATACTGGATTTCACATCCCAACCAATGCAACCGAAGACACGGGCGCCAAAATTGAAAAAGGAGAACAGCGCAAGTCCACAAGCTCTCCGGCGCGCCTGTAAGTGCCTGGCAAACACTGCACCGTTTCTCTGGGAGCACATTCACATACACACGGACGGCCATGGTACAGATTACAAGTGAAAATAATGAACATCTAAAAATACTCTCCCGCGGCGGACAAACCTGATGCGAAGGGAAGGAGCGTGAGGACCAGTTTCACCCCATATCCAAAGGATGAGTCTGTTGCTGTTCCCTATATCCTAAGATGGGGTTATTGTTATTACTTAGACGCCTCGGACCTCATTCCTCCTTCTCCTCCTACACTCCTCCCTCTCTTCCCCATCCCACTCAAAGTAGGACCTCCTCATGTAAAGTGATGTCATGTCATGGCATGCTATGGTAGGTTGTGGTTTATGTTACGATATGGTTTGATATTTTATGTTGTGGTATGGTATGGGGTAGCATGGCATGTTATGGTACGGTATGCTATGCGATGTGATTCCCAATATCATAGGATAGGGATGGAATTGTTGATATCACTGTGACCGCGCGGTCATGTTTGTACATATGCATGCCTTATTTTCCTCCCCCTGATGATACTAAATGGTATGTTATGCTACGGTATGTTAAGCTATGGTAGGTTATGCTGTGTTATGTTGTGACGACGATGATGATGATGATGATGACGGTGATGATGATGGTGATGATGACGAGGTGATGATGATGATGCTGATGATGATGGGTGATGGTGATGGTGACAATGATGATGACGATGACGATGGCGGAGCCAATTCTGAGGATGTCTCGAGCGGCTTGCTGGTTTTCTGCGCTCTGAATGGGGGGGGGCCAGGGAAATCTCACGGCGTCCGTTCGCGCAAAAATGGCGGGGATGTCTCGAGCTGCTTGCCTGTTGACCAGCTCAACATCCCCTGCTTTCGGAGCAGTTTTTGAGGAGGTCTCGAGAGCCTGAAATGACTCTGGTAGGTCACATTGCATCCAATTCCACGTCGAAAGAATACGATATGGGGCGTGGATGGGTAAGATCAGAGAAGATCGATGTATCGGTCTCTCCAGCACATAGCGAATACCAAGTCAGGTATCCGGGCAAATACGGCGCGCGTGCCTTGAGCCAGAAGGCAGCGACGCGCAGGCTATACTCCCGATTATCTATAACATCCCCCAAAGAGCTACCCTTGAAGTCGGGAGGGGAGGAGACGGAGAGTAGAGCCGCGCGGTCGCTAGGCTCTCGACAGGCGCGCAACGGTTTGCAAGGAAAACAGTAAACGCAGTCTGGTCAACCACCAGACTGAAGGGCGAGATTATTCGCCGGCGAGTTTCCTCGCAAAACATTTCCACGCATGCACAGGACAGCCCCTTGGATAGACAAGGGCTATCGGCCCGGCTAGAGGTAAGCCAAACAGGCTATTCCCCTCCGGGCAAAAGGTATCAAGGCGAAGAGCCTGAACCAAACTGAACCGGCTCGTTGCCAAGCGTGAAAAGTATGGCTCGCTTCCGAGCAAGAAAGAGGGCGCCTCCCTACTAGGCGCCCGTGCTGGCAAACTGGACCGCAGGGGCAACGAGGACAAACTAAAAATGATTCGACTTAGGTTTGGTTTTGTCCTCGGGGCCCCGAAAGGGAACAAACTGCTTCACGTCATACTTAGATGACTGGGTGCCTGACATCACTTCCAAAGGCAGCTCCCGATCGATACTCCCCTTTGTATGCCCGTCTGCGGTCATGTCTCTAGTGTCACACCACCGTACGTTATGCACTCTACCTATATCCATGAGCTCACGTGTCCAGCTGATATGTCCCAGCAAAGTACGTTCCGTCGGTATATTGAGGTCTTTGATGGATAACGACTCAAATACAGACTCAGCGTCTAGAGTAAGGGATACTTTGATAGCTAGGCCTCCAACTTCACGCATATCTCGTAGTTGTCGTGGGGTAAGTGCTCCAGCCTTGAACTCGTGGAGAGTGCTGAGCGTGGGATAGCACTCATCAAGATTATGCGCAGCTGCAAGTGCCTCAGCGGCATAGCTGGACCTCGCTTGCAGTCGGTGTGACTTGCATAGTCCGTCGCAAAGGTGAACGACGGATTAGCCTTGGGGCGAGTTTCCTCGCCGTAATACGTTAGCCCCACGAATACCGTAGCCCTTGGTTTCACCGTCCTCCTCCCTGGTGAGTTTCCCATACCCCGAATCACTATGCATGTCTACTTCATTCGTCGGTTTCATCCGAGGGGGGGTGATGCGTTTCGGGCTGCTGATCAGCTTTCGCGTCACAGCATTCAGTCGTCTGACTTGTAAGTTGGTGGGCTCTTGGGTCTACTGGAGAGATACAACATACACCATGAGCCAGACTTGAGTAAGAACGGCATAGGCGAGAGCTCCTCGCAGGCGAACGAGCATGTCGGTGATGAATTTGGTTGCCTTGGCGTCTGCCGCTGCTCCCGTAAGTTCAGGATGTGTGATAGGACGTAGTTGTTTGATATATTCGTCCTGGTCCATGATCACATCCCCTTGTTCATTCTTCGTGTAGCGAACGGCACAGTTGGTGCAATAATATTTGTTGAGATTGCATTTACCAAACACCTTTTCGACACGTTGTACATAGTCGTCTACGTTTTTCTCTAGGCCTGTCATATTGATCTCGTCGACATGTTTTGCTGTTAATAGGTCCTGACTGATTTCAAATTCAGGATCGTAGCTTGTCGGTGTACGGCCCAGAGCTCGAGTAGTCGTGCGAAGCTTGAGGGTGAACGCTCTTGGGGCGTCCTTTGTACCGGTTCCTGGCTTGAGGCACCTGAGGCAGCGTCGGCTTTAATCTTAAGAAGAGAAGCCTGGTAGGGTGCGAAGCACCTGGGCACTTCCTGGTGGACGGGTGAAGCAAAACCATGCGAGTCTCCTCGCCGGTGGCATGAGCAAGTTCCTCATATGTCAGTCCTTTGAGGAACGCTTTGTCGATGTCCATAGATGCCCAGATCCATTCTGGATGACACGCAGCTTCACTTGCCAGAAGCCTCTGGGACTGTCGGCGGGGAGTTCCCGAGAAGGTTTCTACATCGAAAGCCTCCGTGTCCATAAATCCGCGGAGGACAAGTCTAAGATGGATGGTTTTAACATTCCCGGCGCCTACTTTCACAAACTTCCACTTGTATACACAGCTGGATGTCATGATGTTGGACGCGCTTGACAGGTCATACATCTCAAAGCATCGGTTGTCAAGCCAGATCTTGAGTTCGGTGTACAAGGCTTCACAAACCTCTTTAGGATGTGCTGCTATGTCGGCTTTGGTGAGTAAGTCGTCTTCCTTGACTACTACAGCACGTTTGGCAGCCGATGATACGTATACTCACATCGTTGCGACCATGTTTGGTTCGAGCTGTGCGAGTTGGGTCTGATCCAGCACGATAGTTGACATTTCTGGCGTAAAACATAGCTCGACATATGGGCCATGTTCATCACTGTCAAGAGAATAGCCCTCGTCAGGTGTAGTCGAGCATAAAGAGACAAGACAGGGCTCTCGTTGTTCAGGCACGTTTCCGAGCATCTCCGACACAACGGTATCTTCCTCGTCCACTGATGCTGAGACCAAGACACATTGGTCAGGCAGCATGGTTGTTGGAACGCAGTAGAGACAGTCGTCGATAACCGTCGTGGGATGAAGGTCCAAACGCAACTCATCGTACCACTCCTCCATCATCATAGCCTCGATGTCGTGTTCCTCGCTTTCCTCGTAGATTGTAGACAGGCGACCTTCACTCGGTGATGAAGCACCTGGGGTGTCTGGAGGAGGCCTGTCTCCAGGTTGGTCAGGTCCTTCAGACGGTGTGTCCAAGTGTTGATACTTGGCAAGGTCGTCATGGAATCCTAGGGAAGGAACTTGTGACGTCAGGGACTGGATGAGTCTGGAGTGAGTGCTACCAGTGGTTTGAGATGTTCAGGCCGGTGCCTACACACTCATAGTAGTGGAAGGCTGGGCTAGCATCGTTGTCGTAGTGGATCAGTGTAGACCCGATGGAGTACTTAACTGCAGGTAGATTGAGCACGCTCTTGGCCAATCTCACGGCTACTACGCGCTCAACTCGAAAATAGTTTCGCACGAGATACTGTAGTGCTAGGTGTACGCGGGGGTGAAACTTGCTGTCGTCGGAAAGATTGAGGTTTCCCTTGTAGTCTGGAATGTAGCCAAAGACCTTGGCAGGTTTCCCTGCACCAAGGTGTGCCTCATATGTAAGGACGGTTTGCATGGCCATGTTGTCCATGCCAAGTTCCCTGGTGAGAAGGCATTCAATATCAGGGTACATTACAATTACCTCACGCGATCCTGCCTTGACGACTACGTGTCCTCGTTCAGGCACGTTACGGATCACAGGAAACGCGCCATTCCAGCCTCCATGGTCGTCCTTAGTGGCCGTGGGTCGGTGATAATCGACCAAATCCCCAGCTGAGCATAGGCGAGCACCATCTGGGGCCGTCTTAGCTCTGAGGGCACGGTTCGTCTTCGCTACCGCCGTGGCTTGAATTATTGCTTCCAGGCTGACTTCCCTCACGCGACGTTCGCGTTCGTGGCCTGACGTCTCGGGCCCCTTGGGGAAGTCAAGAGAGTCGAGGTCAGGCAGGAAAAAGGGCTGTCGCCCAGTGTGTGTGCTTGGCACGGCGACACTCCGTTGTAAAACGTGAAAGCGTTAGTGACGAAGATGCCTTCGGCCAGTACTCTAATAAATACAATGGGGATGTTGTGTCTGTTCAGCTCTTCCTCAATCATGTGGAGAGTGCCTCTAAGAATGCCATTACGTGACTCGATCGAGGTCGCGTGATGGTCAGGCGCTCGGATACGCAGTGTCGTACCCTTATTCGCCATCATGGCCTTGGCAATTTCATTATTGAGGGCACCTTCTCCATCTGAATACAATACTTTGAAGGGTCCATGGTAGGCGATCCAGCAGTAGTGGTAGGCGTCGAGTATGGCGTCACGTTCTCTGTCGGGAATGTCTTGGCCTGCTGCCAGGCGAATACATCGATCCATAATGTGGAATACGGTCCGTTTCCTG